ACGAGAGAGCAGAGAGAGATATTTATACATTACAGTCACCCTAGCAGCTCACATTCATGCTCAAATATTTTAGGCATTTTCAGATGCCATAGTAACTGTATTGGCTTATTTAACGAACTGGCCAGTTCAGTGCAGTAACAAGTATAGCTGGCGATGTTTGGTAAAAAGAAATATGTAATTGTAATTATAATATACTAATTTTTTATGATTTCGGTTACAATGTTCTGAAACTTTTGTGAGTGGCCCTGAACATACAAGGGTCTATTTGCCGACTAAGTTGTAGGATATGTCTACGCTGCAGTCATTATCCACTTTGCTATAATAAATGGCGCAAATAAATGCCAGCAATGTATGTTATGTTGTTTTTATAACCCGGACACTATCTAGAGCTCAACCAGTCATTATGGACAACAAATGCTGTGAATTTTGTATGACAAGCTTATCTATGTTTCTGAACCATGCTAACATTGGATTTCAAGAAACATTTAAATATCTCTCATTTATTCTAACCATCTTAACACATGTAAAATGCTTACCATAGCAATATCAGATCCGAACACTCTTTTATCACATTTCAATTTGTAAAAATATTATGACCAACAATCTTGAAAACTACAACAAGAACGGAAACTGTCAAACTTCAAGTTTGTCATTTTGTTTTCCCTTTGTGCTTGTGATGCTGTCACCGACAAGTGTTAATCTTCGTGTGGTCAGTCGCAGTGCCATCGATAATCAGAAAAATTCGCATATTGCTTGTTATACTGACAACGTAACATTACAAGTTTACAATTTCTGCTGTACAGAAAATTCACACACAGTATTGTATACTGAAGGTATGAGCGCCAAAGCAATAGCCCATTTCAGGTTACGACACATTTTTAGGGTACATTTTTTTGGTCTAGTCTGTGTATAGGCCTATCCATTACCTGGCACTGTTGTCTTAACAGTTCGGCCAGTGTTCCAAATGTTCCAGCTGCTCGCTTCTTTACTTGCTGCGGCAAGCTTTACCTGAGACTTATACCATTCCCAATATCATGCAGAGGTAACAAACGCATTTTGGCTTTTGGGTTAAATTACATATGCTTTTGTAATCGTATTGATACACTAACCATTTTACATATTATCAAAACAGATTAAACAACCTTACCTTAACACACTTTGCAGAGACAATGCGTATGCCAAACCATTAATTTTATATCCACTAGCCCAATCTCATTCCATTCATAGAAACATGGAATTTACTTTCGGAATTGTTTAATAAACAATTTTTTCGTCGCTTTGCTTTCCTCTCTGTAATAGTGTACATCGGATTATTATACTATATTATACATATCAGCGAGTAAAATAATCGCAACCGAAGCTCTGTCATGTATTTTCTGGGTTTATAGGCTTTTTACTGTTTATTGCCTGGGTATAGAGTGGTGCATTAGTCATAACATGTGGTTCGATGTGCCAGATGCTTCGGGCTGAGTGTGTGCACAGTCATATGTAAGCATATCTTGTTGGTAGGAGGGCCGGACAAAGTTGACAGCTTTACGTGAATTATTGGCGAATAGAGTAGAATAAACATTTCAGATTTATATTAAATACAATTGGTGATGCTGCTTGATTGAGCCACTCACTTTCTGGTAGTGTATTGAAAGGGCAATATTTGCGCAGATTCTTGGCTCAGAAATGCTAATCCAAGAATAAAATACTTTGTGAAATATTAGTATCACCGCTCACAGCCGCTATATATATCGACTGATATATACAACTTCTGAAAACACTAGATTTCATGGCAGTTTATAGCCATAGAAAATGTGGATAATGAACAATCGTAACACAACGAAAATCAACATCGAGTCAGCGAGATTGTTTGTTAAATGTGTCGACTGCAATTTGATTCGTGCAAACGAGCATCTGCTGCATAGAGCACATGCAAGTCTTATGGATGAAAGCTGGCGGCTACTAACTGGCCCCGAAGATTACAAGGACAAGTGCCGCCGGAGCGACAGGCGCTCATCAACGTCTACCTGCCGGTGCAACTTAGTGGTGGAGTGGTGCCCAGCGAGTCTAGTAAACCCTTGTTAGTCCCGCACATGTTTTTTTTGCGTTTGACATTACACGCCGAACTCAGTAGAATGCACAGGCGATGTATCAGGAACCTTCTTCAAAAGGAATGTTTCGTTGCGGGCATCTTATGAAAGTTGCCACGAGATTAGCGGCGCTAGCGTTTAAGTGTGCTTCAAGATTAAGATGGAGAGCCGTCCATCGTACGTAGTCCAAACCGCAGACAACTATGTTGCGAAGAGACAGAACCTACGGTAAAGCACTCATACCATTTACCTACGCAAGCCTACAGGCAGCAATAGAGCAGGCTGCCACCTGTAACTAATTAAGCGCAGGCAAAAAAACTACACAGTAGCTACAGCACCACTCACATGCACTGGCAGTGGCCACTGGCAGTGGCATTACGTACATTGTAATGAATACTGAACAGTAGCATTGATGCCATAGAAATCCTAATACGATTTTAAAGGAGTCATAAAACCTTTCTTCACCAAATTTGAGCTTTTGAATTCTTCACGTGTGACATTGTAGCCTGCATACATCCAGGCCATGTATAGATTGCGATAGCATATAACCCAGCAGTCAAATTTCTTTGGGTCTTAACAGACAGAAACAAAATCCATGTTTAACCCTCATCTTGAGCGGTCAAAGAAGCGTTAATGCCGAGCACTTACTCATTCGGCGATGGTCAGGCAGAAGGGACATTTCATGGCCTCCTTTCCATGAACAGCCATAAGAAATCCTAGCGTCACGGCTGAAACAAAAAAGTTTTTCAATCGGCTCCGTCAGACCATGTCTCAGAAAATGCAAAATGTCTAAAATCTGCCCTGTGCCCATTGACCTTTGACCGGTGACCTCCAATTTTGGCACAGTGATGGCTTTTCCTACCATGATGCTATACACCGACTATCATGAGCCTAGGTCTAGCCGTTTAGATTTGTGCCGCAATTCTGCATTTCCTCCCTATACCTTAAGTTAAGGAGTGAATGTTCCCCCTTCTTTTACACCTCTTGACCTTTGACCTTTGACCCCCAGCTTCGACATCCCAACTCGTTTTGACGATCCCCCCCGATGTGCTGAATATCGTGACCGTACGTCGAGCGGTTAAGATTTGTGCCCAACTGTTGACGCACGCACGGATGGCCGGACGCACGCACGGACGGACGATCATGCGATTCTACAAGCTGCATCTGACTATGTCAGATGAGCTAAAAAAGTGGTGGTAATCGAACGAGTTCGAAACTTGCACGTTTTGGTGAATACAAAGGTTCTAATACATTTTATCGTTACTCTAAACTGTTGCTGTTGCTCAAGCAAATAACTGTAGGTATCATAAAAGTGGGGAAAACACTAGTTAGATAATTCTCGAAATTATGGCTTTAAATCCTGCACACGAGCTACCTAATAAACTATGCCACTTTTTGACCTCAGACAAACTAAACTTCCTGCAGAAACGGTAGGGCTTTACAGACAGGATTTCAAAAACAAATTCTGACTGGTCTCATGGTTTTCCCACTTTTACTATACTTACCATTATTGTTTGAGTAACAGCAA